TCAGATGGAGTTTCGCTTTTGTCCAGGCTGGAGTGCAATGGCGTGATCTCAGCTCACTGCAACCTCTGTCTCCTGGGTTCAAGCAATCCTCCTGCCTCAGCCTTTCAAGTAGCTGGGATTACACGTGTATACCACCACACCCGGCTAATTTTGTATTTTTTTTTCCACTACAGATGGGGTTTCACCATGTTGGTCAGGCTGGTCTTGAACTCCTGATCTCAAGTGATCCACCTGCCTTGGCCTCCCAAAGTGCTGGGATTACAGGCATGAGCCACCGAGCCCAGCCAAGGTGACTGTGTTTCTGAACTTGTTTGCATAAGTGCAATTTACACAGCACTTAGAAAGCTCATACAATTTATTTTAAATGCATGCTTTTGAGTTTGTTTTCACATAGATGTCATTTGTCCTAATTTACCATATGAAGTTGAGTTTGGGAATACTACTTAGATTTGTCTTCATTTTTCCAAACTTACAAAAAGATATTTAGTTGGAGATGAGTCTTTCTGAGCCAGTTTGTCTTTCTGAGCTAATGTGCTCTATTTCATAATAAGTCAATCTAACTCAGTTTCAGTTTCAATTTTTACATAAACTGCTTAATTACATTTATATTTACTCCAACTTATAATAAAAAGTTACTTTTAAGATCAAAGTGTAAGATCAGGCATGGTGACTCATGCCAGTAATCTCAATATTTTGGGAGGCCGAGACAGGCGGATAGCTTGAGCTCATGAGTTTGAGACTAGCCTGGGCAACATGGCAAAACCCTGTCTCTACAAAAGATACAAAAAAAAATTATCCAGGTATAGTAGCTTGTGCCTGTGGACCCAGCTACTTGGGAGGCTGAGGTGGGAGGATCACTTGAGCATTGGAGGCAGAGGCTGTGGCAGCAGCATTTGATTCAGAGCGACTCCATCTTGAATAAGGGCTGGGTAAAATAAGGCTGAGACCTACTGGGCTGCATTCCCAGGAGATTAGACATTCTAAGTCACAGGATGAGACAGGAGGTCAGCACAAGATACAGGTCACAAAGACTTTGCTCATAAAGCAGGATGTGGTAAAGAAGCTGGCCAAAACCAAAATGGTGATGAAAATGACCTCTGGTCGTCCTCACTGCTCATTATACACTAATTATAATGCATTAGCATGCTAAAAGATTCTCCCACCAGCACCATGACAGTTTACAGATGCCATGGCAATGTCAGAAAGTTACCCTCTGTGGTCTCAAAGGGGGAGGAACCCTCAGTTCCGGGAATTTCCACCCCTTTTCCAAAACACTCATCAATAATCCACCCCTTGTTTAGCACATAATCAAGAAATAACTGTAAGTACACTCAGTTGAGCAGCCCGTACAACTGCTCTGCCTGTGGAGTGGCCATCCTTTTATTCCTTTATTTCCTTAATAAGCTTGCCTTCACGTTATGGAATCACAGGGAATTCTTTCTTTCTTACACATGATCCAAGAACCCTCTCTTGGAGTCTGGATGGGACACCTTTCTGGTAAGAGTTGCAGTGAGCTGAGATTATGCCACTGTACTCCAGTCTGGGTCTCAAAAAAAAAAAATTGAAGGTGATTCTGAGCCTCTTTTAAAATACTGCTTAGGCCAGGTGGGGTGGCTCATGCCCATAATCCCAGCACTTTGGGAGGCCTAGGCAGGAGAATCCCTTGAGCCCAGGAGTTCAAGACCAGAATGGGCAGCATAGTAAGACCCTGTCTCTCCACAAAATAAAAAAATTAACTGGGCATGGTAGCACGCACCTGTGCTCCTAGCTACTTGGGAGGCTTAGGATCTGCTTGAATCAGGGAGCTGGAAGCTGCAGTGAGTCATGATCATACCACTGCTCTCCAGCCTGAGGGACAAAGAGAGACACTCCCTCAAAGGAAAAGATAAATTACACTGCTTAAATTCATCTAAAGTCGCTCTCACAAATTCTTACCCTGACAGAGAATGTGTGATTTTGAGGTTGCTTTCACATACACCTGCTAGTGTCCACTAGGTCCCCAGTTCCCACCGCGAGGCTGGGTTTCGCGTTCTCATCCCAGGCTGCCTCCCCCATTGCCTGCCTCTGCGGCAAATCGCCGGTTTTGCCGCAATGCTAAGTCCCAACTTGGCCAACAGGGGGCGCCCGAACCTCCCCTCCTGGAAGGGCGGGCTTCCAGGCCCAATTCCTCAGGTTGCGCGCTCACCTCCGTATGGTAGCTTGGGAAAGTCAGGTCTCTGAGGCCACTGAAGCTGAAAGTGGGGACTTCGCTTTTGGGCGACAAGTAGACACTCAGCCTCCGCGGGGTGGCGGATGGGGAGGGAACGGGGACTCGGCGGCTGGCAGCCTGGGTCGGCGCTATGGCGACAAATCGGGATTCATTCCCCTGAGCTTGAGGTGGGGACTTAGTCTCTCGGGGATGGGTGGGGACGCGGCCCCCGGTGGCGTAGACTGTCAATTAGTCTCGGAGTGGAGGGAGTGTTAGACCTAGGATCAAAAATACCAGATTCCTTTTCTGGGGTGAAAACTGAGGATTGGCCTCTGGAGGAAACCGCAGGGCTGAGCCCCTCGGGGAGAGGCGGGGACTAAGCCTCAGGAGCAGGAACCCTCTGGAGAAGGGCCTCCACTTTCCAACTGAGAGCCGGGACCTTGGCCTCTGGGCCCCGCGGAAGATCGGGGGCCAGCGGGAAGGTGGCTTACGCCTGTGATCCCAGGACTTTGGGAGGCAGAGGCATGAGTATCAGTTGAGGTCAGGAGTTTGAGTCCAGCCTGGATGACAGAGCGAGAGACCCTGGCTCAAAATAAAAATAAGAGGGAAGGGCTGCACGGCAGGGAGGGCGGGCCTGCTGCAGTTCCGGGGTAGGCGACCGGGTTTCCGGTCGTCCCCCGCACCTGGCTTCCTTCCTGAAAGCCCTCCACACCCTCTGCGAAGGCCCCTTGGGTTCCGCCAGCGAGGCTCGCAGCTCTCGCCCACGCGGAACCTGAGGAATTGGGCCTGGAAGCCCGCCCTTCTAGGTTCTGGAGGTTTGGTCGGACGCCCCCTGTTGGCCAAGTTGGGACTTGGCACTGCGGCAAAACCGGCGATTTGCCGCAGAGGCAGGCAATCGGGGGGAGGGCAGCCTGGGACCAGAACGCGAAACCCAGCCTCGCGGTGGGAACTGGGGACCTAGTGGACACTAGCAGGTGTATGTGAAAGCAACCTCAAAATCACACATTCTCTGTCAGGGTAAGAATTTGTGAGAGCGACTTTAGATGAATTTAAGCAGTGTAATTTATCTTTTCCTTTGAGGGAGTGTCTCCCTTTGTCCCTCAGGCTGGAGAGCAGTGGTATGATCATGACTCACTGCAGCTTCCAGCTCCCTGACTCAAGCAGATCCTAAGCCTCCCAAGTAGCTAGGAGCACAGGTGCGTGCTACCATGCCCAGTTAATTTTTTTATTTTGTGGAGAGACAGGGTCTTACTATGCTGCCCATTCTGGTCTTGAACTCCTGGGCTCAAGGGATCCTCCTGCCTAGGCCTCCCAAAGTGCTGGGATTATGGGCATGAGCCACCCCACCTGGCCTAAGCAGTATTTTAAAAGAGGCTCAGAATC